AAGTGGGATGGCTCAGACGAGAGACGATCTTCCTCCTGGACTCCTGGAGCTTTGGAGCTGTAAATGCCCCAGGGGCTACCAGAGAAGAGAACTTGCCTGAGAGTGAAGCAGAGCTTCCATATCCTGGTGACATTGTTTGAGTTCCTGGATCCAGCCATGCCTGCTGGACATGCCTAGACTTTTCTAAGAGCCAACTTCTTTTTCACCCAAGTCATTTTGAGTCAGACTTTCCGCCTCAAACATCTAAGAAAGCTGGTTAATAGAAAGAAAGAGAAAACAGGAGAGAAAGGTGGAGTGTGGCTGAAGTATAGGTTGGGAGGAGTGACAATGAAATACCCTGGTTGCATGGGAGGTTAAATGACATTTTATGAATGGTCATGTCAAATATTCCATATGAAACTATTTGCATCATTCTAACATATCCCACATCCTCTCCCCACAAATCACAAGTAAGGTCTACTATGCTCAAAAATATGTTGTGGGGAGGGAATATTTTGTGGTATTTGAAGAAGGAACTGAGTCTCTCATCTGAGATGAGGTGGTAAGAGACCGAGACCAGCTGTGTGTGGGGAAGCAGCGGCCCAGGCTGAGGTGGCCGTGATGGCCAGGCAATCCTCAAGGGCAGGCTGAGGCTGGGCCCAGTGAGCCCGTGGGTCCCAGGAGGCCTGCAGACCCGTTTGACTCATGGAATGTATCTGTTTGATCTGGGACTCCCACAGCTCTGACAGCAGCAGCCGCTCCCTCAGGGCCCCTCTGCACAAAGCACATTTGTGTCCTGACATGCGTGTTCACGACCTGCTCACCTCGGGCCCAGGAGACCCTCTGAGGGCAGTGGACACGTCTGTGCCATTTCTGTGTACCCAAGGTATCCATGCAGCACTTGGTGCATGGAAGGTGCTTAGGAAATGTTCTAAAACCAGTAAATGAGTGTCTCCAATTGCTTAAATATTTCCTGTCTATTCTCTTAGGTTCCTGGTGCGGATGGTGGATTCAGGCGCTACGGGAAGCTCCCTTTCCATCTACAAATACATGGAAGTGCTGGGTAAAGTATAACCACTTAAACGAATACAGAGTCAAGGTCAAAAACAAGAAGAAGAAACCCCCAGCTTGCACGGGGAGCAGAAGATGGAGCTGAAATGCCCACAGAGGGGTCAGCACTGGGGTTTTGATGCCCAAGTGGGTTCAGGTACAGAAGGCCTTGCATGGTGAGTTAACGGAAGGAGGCTCCCTAGTAAAGCCGGGGCCATCCAGGGGCTGTCTCATCCATGAACAGAAGCGAGAAAACTCTGCTTACCCGCTTGGGATGCTGCCCCCAGCTATGCAGCGCCACTTCTCACTATCTGTGTAATTAGGAAACTTCACACTAAAAACAAATTTAAAAACTGGCTCAGAACCAGGCCCTGGTGGAGGCAGATGGGGAAGCTCTGAAGAGAATTCCACAACTCTGGTGGCAGATGGGACTCTCCAGGATCACGGCTTCTGCCAAAGATGGGCTCGCAGTCAGCAATCACAAAAGCCACCGGGAACTCATCATTGCAACAGAAACAGCAGAGGGAAAACACCAGAGAAAGCTCAGATGTTACGGCAGTCCCAAAGAGACTGTGAAAGAAGGACGTTTAAACGGGAAAGAGGAAAAGGATTGGACAGAACCCACAACGCGAGGACAGGGCAAGACAGAGGAGAGTGCGCAGGCTTGAAAGAGAACTACACACAAGTCCGAGGAATGAGAGTCGTTGAGGTATCATTTTAGGGAGGCGGCAGATTCGGAGTTGGGAAACTCCACCGAGTCCTAGGTCAGTCGAGTCTGGCTGTGTCACTTTAGTAACATCGCCCCCACTCCTGGGGCTCTATTTCCTCATCTGAAAACTGGTGGCATAACACCAAGCTCACAGTGTCACCAGAAGATCAGAGAGAGTCGGTTTCTGCGACAGTGCTTTGAAAACTGGAAGATGCTGGAAAAGTGTGAGTCAGGTCCTTTATTCTAAAGAAATGGCTTCAAGCTGTCATTCCCAGAGGGGATTTCAGTCATTGCACTTCCCCCCCAAAGACACAGCTGCAGAGCACCTGGAGGCATTCCAGAGAGATGTCACTTAACAGCGTGTGATGGCGCTCTAGTCTTTGGGGTGGGGGCCTCTTACTCCCACCAGTTCTTCCACACTGCAGCCCCAACGCAGGGTCCAGTGCAGACAGAGGTGGGACGTCTGAGTTCCTGACACTTGTCACGCAAAAGTGTAGGTAACAGCGTAGCCACAGGCCCTCTCTAGCCTGTAAAACGTCCTGTAGATGTTTCTGGGGTGGGAGAGTCCAGGAGGACTTGTGCGTGTCACCAAACCGGCATGGGATGTGTGGCTTTGGGCTACTTGGGCTGCAGTTTGAATCCAGGCCTGTCACTTACTCGCTGTGCCATACTGGCAAGGTGCTTCCTCTCTGGCCTTGGTTTTCTCATCTGTGGAATGCAGATAGTAATACCTTTCTCTTCTGCTGGTTGAGCGGCTCATCTGAGCTAACATGGGGACAGTGCCTGGCGTCATGCCTGGTACACAGCCGATGCTCGATAAACGTCCTCGGCTGCTCTCTCCTCTCTCCTTTCCTTTCTTCGAAGAGAGAGAACTTTGGAGCAAGTCAACCCACTAACTTGCAAGCTCTGGCCATAGAGACTGGGGCTGGGCAAGGTGTAGGGGGCACATTTTTATAGGGGCAGGGGAACAAGTGACAGAGCCATCACCTAATCACCATGTGAGTTTCACACAGTGTCACTCACTCTCTGGTCCTCGGTTTCCTTATTCACTAGGCATCTCCTTTGGAGCCTCTGCAATATCTGCTCCCCATTTTCCTTACTAAGAGAGCCCCAATTTTGTTTGGGGCATCAACATGACCAGACTCTCATGTAGACAAGAGCAGCCACATGACACAGTTCTGGCTAAGTTGAGGAGGTGCAAGTTCTGGTGGGGAAGGGGTTTCTCTCCCTGAATACACAGGCAAAGCTCACTAGAAAAAAATCTTCCCCATCCCCAATGTTGCCTGTCCTTCTTCTTATGCCTGAACAGCAGGCATGAGGCTTGGAGGTGCAGCAGCCATCTTGTAACCATGAGTCAACCAAAAAAAAGGGAAAGTGGAGAGAAAGAACACAAGCTGTGGGGGCAGGCAGGCCTTATTTTTCCACTTCCTGGCTTGGGTGGAAGTGGCCTTGGGTACATTACTTAACTTCTCAGAGCCTCACTTCCCACAATCTGTGAAATGGGGATAAAACCTCTACCTTGCACAGATCTTGTAAGGATTAAATGGTGCAATGGATACAAAGTCACCTTTTCTACTGTAAAGGGCTAGCCCCACCTTTGTAGTTACTTTTACAATCATGCTGTAAAGGACAGTTACTTTAGAGCAAAACAAAGACCAGACCCTTTATTTCTCCTCTTGGAGAAAGTTCTAAGGCTGGACATGGGCCTCAAGCCAACCAGCCCTGCTCTTTAGCGGATCAGATATGCAAACAGGAAGTGACTATTCCAAACATTTGGAGCTGCAGGAGGCTGGCCCAGAGTGGGCCTCCTCGGAGGCCTCCCTGCACCATCATGCCTTCTCATCCCCCAGCTATGAGTGCCTCAAAGGCAAGGACGCCGCCCCTCCTCTGAGGAGCTAGGTCGGGAGGCCCCCTTCTGGCTGCCCCACTGGGCCCCCAACTCTCTCTTGCTCTTTCCCCTTCTCCCATCTCTTTGTCACAGCTGTAGCCAGGGTCATTTTTGTTTGAAATGCAAATCTGCTCCCATCACCCCCTCTCGTAAAACGTTTCCATGGCTTCATGCTCTCTCCAGGGAAAGACTGAAGTCTTTGCCGCAACCTTCCACGCCCTGGACGGCCTGGACTCTGCCTGCCTCTCCAGCTGTACCCCTCCAGCCACTCTGGCCTCCCTTTAGTGTGTGGAGTGTGCCAGGGTCCCTGCTGCCTCAGGGCTTTGCCCATATTGTGCCCATTTCCTAGAACGCTCTCCCCTCTCTGCCTCCCTGGCCCATCTTGCCAAGTAACATCCCATCCTCAGCTCTCAGAAAAGATGCCACTTCCTCAGGGGCTGGCTGAGCCGGCAGCAAGCAAGCAAGGGTCCCGCTCCCCGCCGCAGCTTTCATCCAGCCTACTGCCATAGCTCCAGCCACCTGATGGCCTCACACGCTCGCGAGGGGCTGCTCTGGCCAGGGATTCGGGCTGTCTTGTGCACAGTCACATCCCTGGTACCTGGCACAGCCCCTGCACAGAGTCGGTGCTCAGCACATGTGGAAGGCAGGCAGGCCGGTGTGCCTTACAATTCCAAAGGTGCTCTGTTTACTGAGCAACTACTGTGTGCCAGGTGGGACCTCACTGCCTCCTCACAGCCACACCGGCAGGCAGAAACTCGGATCTATGTCCCACCACAGAGGAAACAGAGGTTCTGAGAGGGGCTGTGATTGGCCCAGGGTCACACATCTGTCAGAGGCCCTGCCAGGATTTGCACTGTGGTCCCTAGCCCAGGTTCCTGCCTGGTGGAGCTAGCACAAAGGATTGCTGTACATCTGTTTCCTCATCTGTAGAATGGGGACATGACGGTGCCTACCTCACAGGGCTATTGTGAGGATTCAGTGAGTTAAGCCACCAGTGCTTAGCTCAGAGCCTGGCACACATAAAGTGCTCAGTAACTGTTAGCCATTGTCATCATTATTACTGTGTTGATCAAGTCAAAGAGAAAATGAGAATAACTAAATCCTATTGCAACCCATGACTGGGCCAATGGAGGGACTTGGTGGTGATCCGGCACATGAATGGACAGATGGATGGATGGACAATGGGTGGTGGGTGGTGGAGAGCAAGCAATGGAGTGGATGGGTGACTGAGAAAACGAAGAACCGACGGACGAATGGCGGGACACACGAAGGCACGCATGAACAAACGCGGGACCACAGGCACGAGTAGGGGTGCACATCGAGGTTTGGGGGAACCGGCGCGGACCTGGGCCCCGGCCCGCGCGCCCTGCTCACCTGTAGCGCCGCAGCTCGCCCTCCAGCCGCCGCAGGCAGCGCTGCAGGCCGGGCACCTGGCGCGCCA